CGGTATTTAAAATCCCATATTGATACCAAAAGAATTGAATTCCCGAACTCACCCATAAAAACCCCTGAAATATGACTATACATGTAATTACATAGAGATTACGCATTAAATGAATTCTGAACCCATATATAGCAGCTCTTATACCACATGTAAGAAATGCAATGATTAAAAACTCACTTATAGAATTTACAATACCTGGCCTTGAATAAAAAACAGGTACCTGGTTAGCTAATTATCGTCTTTGAATCGAGCACTATGGATAAATCCAGACAAATCAGGACTAGGCTTTCGTCTCTTTCTCCTACCTTAGATGGTCTTGATGGATAAAATGCAGGTGTACGAAATTAGGAGGGGAATGGAGACATAACCTATTTATGTAGCATATTTTAATAGACTCCTCCATTACAGGTCACTGTTAAAATACTAATCTTCACTAATCGGCCAACCACATTATTTCTGTAACCAAAATATGCTAAGCCCTATATAATATGTTCACATTACCATAATTGGGCAATATAACATTCTTATATATTTTATAAGTACTATAACAGAGTATTTTTCACGGACCAAAAAATTATACAATTAATATTAGCCCGCATTTATACAAAATTCGAACACATTGAGGTCCAAAATTACCATCTTCCTGCTCGTGTTAGACTATGGATCTTTCAGTCAAATGCTTTGGTATTTTCAAATGTTTTTTAATAGATTGGGTTATGATCAGTACTAGCTAGAAAGCACTAAAATTTCGACATTTCATAATCGAACGAAAAAAGGTCTCACGTGTAGGATTGAACAATACTGAAAGCACACTTAGGGAAGAAACAGTTGCCAATTGCCTTCCTTTTTTCTTTTTTTTTGGGTCAGAAAAAGCACTTTCATTCATTTATTCATTCATGAATCAAACTCTACCAGAGCTAGACAAGTTGGTTTCTGAACACAAAATATTCCAAAGGGGTTATTGGGGTAAAGAAGACCAATTCGAAGGGACAGTCTTGTTCCTACGGTCTTAACAATCCAATCAGCAACTTCATTAACCTCGTAGGGACAATGAGCAACCTTCACCATAACCAAGTGGGCCAGCAGAAACCGGCATTCCTCAATGATTTCTTGCATGGCTCAAGGGCTTTCAACATTACCCGTGGTAAGCTCCACTAGTGACAAGCAGTCGGTGGATACTACAGAGCACAAGTAGAGAATCGACTCATTCACTGCTAGGGCTTCTGCAAACAGAACCGAGGGAGCTTGCACGCCTTTCGCAAAGCCAGCCACCAACATACCGCATGAATCCCGAACAATTCCAGCTATCAAAACTTCCGTTGCTCCCTCCGTCCACGAGCAGTCGGTATTGAGCTTGAGGAGTCCTCTGGCCGGCAGTACCCACTGTTCAGGTAAGCTCTTGTTTAAAGAGAGGGTGGCGTCGACGATTGAGCTTGAGGAGTCCTCTGGCCGCCAAATCCCTCTTCACGGAGCAAAACATTGAGATTTTTATGTACTTTTGGCGCCACCACGCGACCAATCAAATCATTGAGATTTTTCCACAATTATATGCTAGGAAAAGTCAACGATGATCACGACGTTAACTAGCTCTACAAATATTATAAATTTAAGTATCTAGGACATAATTGGTGCAATCTGGAAGTTTAAATCCAGTCAATGCATTCTTTGCTAGGAAACCCATGTGAATCACATGCAAATTATTTACCACTTTTTATCATCATTAGGGATCACACATGATAATCATGGTTAACAGGCTATAATTTAGAAAGGTCACACAATGCCGCCAGCTTTTTATATGCACAACTAACTGATAATCATTCATTACACAGCAAAGGTCCATCATAAAACTACACATGATGTACATGACGTTCATAAAAGCAAGGAATCATACGTTCAAAGGTCTTACCTAGTTGTGCAGAGGAACGAGAAGATTCAACGGGAGGAATCAATGCACATAGATCAAATGAGAAGCCTCAGTAACCCGTGGCCTGGGAGGCTTTGGAGCTGAAATCAAAATATTAGCATTCGGCATATATCTATAATACTCAAAACAAAAAATAGATTCCACACTATCGTAAACAGCAAAAGAATGGAAAAGGAGGGAAAAAATGGCCAACAAGAATGATATTCTTGTTACAGGGTTCTATAGAACAGAGAAGAAAACCAAATTCATTTTATCATTGCGTAGACAAATTAATCAACGCCATCTTTTCTGTATGTAATGAGTTTCCAAAGTTTTATAATGATCTCAGAAGCACGAAAAGGTTCTGGTCTAATCAGTCTCTTCAAATATTTGCAACTAAAGAGCTCAAATTGGAGAATTGCTCGACCAAGAACCCTATATGTTCAGTAATTCACGATAGGGATCAAGGAAGAAGATATTTCTCTCAACGAGTCTAACCAACGGATTATCAATTATTAAGATACTGCACTTCCTCTTTTTTCCTTCCGTCCCATTTCTCAAATGGCAATCTGGCTAAGAATACCCAGTCTAGAGGAAAGCTATATTTGATAAACAGGGCATCTGAAAATTGGCCAAAACAAAAAAATGACTGGCCATCTAAAACTCTTTAACTTTTCTTTACTGGGCATATTCTACACCTATTCATAGCAACCATTACATGGCTGACAACCGCTCCACTCAAGAGTGTCAGTCTGGTAAAGTGTAGCCACCATTATAGTTTCCTTGTTCTTAAAATTCTCACAGATGAGAAACCGCTTCTGATGCCATTATCCCTCCACAACATTTGAAATCCTTTGATCTAGAATTTCCATTACTGCAAGAGAAACAAGAAAAAAGTTGGAAACATTCATCAATCAGGCAGACACTTGAAAGGGGAACACAGATGAAATTTCTGTGGAAACCAACAAATGGTCCCGATGAATCTGCCTTTTTACCTAGTTCATCTGCTCGAAACCCAGAATAGATTCCAATTGCAAAACGTGTCCAAATATCACGGCAGACATAATTTAGCAGACTAATTGACAAAGCACTTTGCAAAAGAAGGTACTATCTAAGCAAAAACAAGTTTTCCGATAGGAGAATATGTTTTGTTTAAAAAGTTTACATTTCGGTCCTCAGATTATCAATTTTAAGAAATGTCTGTACTCTAGGAAATAGGTTTTCATGCAAGCAAATTATCTCTAAAGTGTACCATTTGATTCAATTGACAGTACCTAGGCTCTATTAGCGGCATTGACCTTGGCAAATTCTTGGATCAAATCTAAAAAAGATGTGTGTTTTGTGTTTTGGGTAACTATGGCTTAAAATTTTTTACTTTAACAATGCCTTTGGGCCATTCTATATTTTCTCTTCTACGTAAAACCCAATGTCCATGGATGGCTTAAAATTTTTTACTTTAACAATGCCTTTGGGCCATTCTATATTTTCTCTTCTACGTAAAACCCAATGTCCATGGAGAACAACTAACATGCTGTAAACAGGGTGATACTTAGAAGCTTTTAATTCAGATGGGCAACTTCTCTTCAGAGAAATTTTGGTACCAGGATCTCATTGAGAGAAGATTTGTGGATGATTTGTATACTAGTACTGGCCAGGATGGGTTTCAATCAGCTATGTCTTCCGAACGTTGGATAGGAACCATGCTCACCATTATGACAACAGTCTCATATTCTATCATGAAACTATGCAATAATTGGGACTAGTTTTTGAGCTCCAGAAGGAGGAAATTGAGCAAGGCAGTCCTTTATCCGCAAGATGAGTCCTCTTGCTTGATGTCGTATTTAGAGAGGCAATGAGCTAGTTCATGTTTCCCACACTACTTTTGACTCGTAGTCAGATTATTAAGAGCAGCATAACTATAAACTTCAATCTCTAGAAGTCTAGAGTTTTCATGGTTTATTTCCTTTTCTCTAAATTTTTTTGTTAAGATGCATCCTTAGTACATCTCTTGCTTCTTCTCCCTGTACTTGAGCTGTTGTTCTTTAAAAAATACTTGAATAGAAAAACAATGTCCGTAATCTAGATTAGCTACTTCATGAACTGCGAAAATCACAACGAAACAAATCCCGTTTCAACGTTTTAACTTTTGTGTCAACAAAGTTTGAGTAAAACCTTGATGAGTTTTAAACAAGCTTAGAAAACATCAAAAGTTAGATCATAGTAGCGTCAGACAGATGAAATATCATTCTGGAAACACAAGTCATACACCGCAACTTAGTAGGCACCTGCTCTCACGTATGCAAGAAGAGATAATTACAACTAATAAACACAAAAAGAGGTTTCTTTGTCAAGTACATTGCCCATGGCATATCAGAAAGCATAATTTACTCATGATTAAATTATCACATTTCTTTGCAGATTTCCAGATTTAACCATGACAACACTAAAGACATCAAAAATCTGACTGCAGTGAGAAAACGTGAGAAACAAAGGGGAAAGGGAACAGGAAAGAAGAAACTAATGTTAGCTTAACTTGTAGCACTTCCCAGAACTGTACATCTTCTTGGGCATATGAAAAGAATACAGAAATGTCTAACAAATCACAAAGAATTCAAGGAAAAGGAAACAAAGCGGAGAAATTTAGAATTAATATATACTTGAATTCTGGACGCTTCCAGAAACTCCACTTAAGGACAGAAAAGATGGAAAATTAGCTCCATAAACCTCCATTTATTTTCATGGTTATGTGTTGCAATATTTAAATAATGACAACAAACAGAACCACTACGAAATCACATCCATCAGTAATCAACATAAGGAAGACCTCCAGTCAGCTTTAGTTGTCAATCATCATATGTCACAATAACAAAGTGGAGCTAAGTAGCTACGAAATTAGCAACAAAAGCAAGTTCAGAAATGCATGCCTTGGAGCTACTGAATGCAACACCAGTATTGAGCCACAGCCTCCAAATTTATCATTTGTACAGCCATAATATACTTCCTTTATACCTAAAAAGGGGTAAGAGAAATCTTATTATTTATGAATAAACCAATTCAGGAAAGTTTAGTTTTATTTCAGTATGACCAATAGATGTACCAATGATCGATAATGCTACTGCACATATATGCATGGTTCACATGTCACATAAAGGGAGTATGCTGAAAATTTCTCTGCAACTTCTGTAGCTGAAAATCCAGTCATCTGCCACTGTTCCTGAAGGACATCAAGAGCTTCCATCTTTGCATGTCTTGTTGCCTATGAAAGAGCAAGGAGAAAAACAAAGCAAGCATATCAAATTTAGGAGCTTTGTCAGAAAGATAGTTTCTCACAGTGTAGGTTAGCATAAATTTAGGAAATGCATTTCATGAGGAATGTTTTCTCCTTCAAGTTAACTAATTGAGAGAATATATAAGATAGATTAAGGCATATACTACATGAACTCAACAATTTTTGCTCGCTTGAAGTTGCTGAGAATCTCACATGGAAAAAGAGGCTTCTTACTGGATTAGCCACCTCCACCTTTTATAACAGTATTTTTATATATACCTGGTAGCAAGGTGCCTTTATTCTTTCAGTATGCTACACAAGATACTAAAAGGGCCATATATTTTTTGTATCGACTATTCATTACTGTCCATAAAATCATTTATAGCAGTGTATTGTCACCATAAAACTATAAATAATTGCAGCAATAGACTATTAGATAGGAGATGATCTCTACCAGAAATCAGGCTTAAACTATTTGTGTACATGTGGCCATTGTACGAAGAAATGTGCCCAAAGAGTTGGTTCTTAAAATCTCAAAAGTCAATACAATGCTCACAATGCTTTTTTTATACCAAGTAAGAATACCAAAGTCAAGCTAACATACAGCCTAAGAAAATAATATTAGGAACTTCACAAAAAATAGATAAAGACCATAATATGGCTCCAAACAGAGCGTAATGGTAAATGAAAAACGCAACACATTGTGCATAATAAAGCAAGAATATTGCTATTGTTGGCCTTAGTCATGTCTTATGAAAGAATAATGTGAACAAAACCCTTTACAGCCTAATTATGCATGCAAAATTCCACTATTAACAAATTTGTTCAGATATATTATTGAAAACCATTCACTAATTTAGTCTAAAATACTAATCATCTTAATTAGAAAATAAGATAACATATCTGAAACGCACCTAGTTACTGAAAATCAGTTTCTAACCCAACTGCAACTTCAAGGCTTTCCAAAGCAAGCTTTGCCTTATATAAGAAAAGCAAATAGGTCTCGTTACTAGTTAGGAGAAGAAAACATGAGGAAAAGAGTTAGAAATTCTTTCATGCATGCGTGCATGCATTCAAGCAATTCAAGAGGAAATCAACATCAAGTTGCTACCAGTAGAAATATTCAGAGTGTCTCATAGCTACAGATCTAATGAACGCATGTCTCATAGTTATGTGATCAAGATCTTGCAGGTCCTGTATATATACTGGTCACAAATTCCAAGCAATGGTTATTACCACATTCTCATCCTGTAATTCAAATGCGAATCCCACCTAACTGGCGAACTTATATGGCTCTAACAACACTAAAGCACAAACAGCTACTAATTTGAGAAACTACATGTTGCTGACTCGAGTGAGTCTTATCATTGGTACCTCAGAAGCTTATCTTTCATTAATTAGGTTATAGTCAAACATTCAAGAAGCTTCTAGGAGCTTTAGCTTCTAGGTCAATTTCCTCCGTAAACGCTATGGCACATAAGCATAAAAAGAGAACACTAAACTGTTGTGAAGGCCTCAAAAATCAGAATTGACAATCAGCCATTTGTGCTTTTGTCTCTATTCTACTGAATAACTTATGTAAACTCCGTGTTTCTTGTGATTTTTTTCTTTTTCATACCCATAGTCTACAGGAAGAAAGAAAATAACCACCTAACCTGTCACGCCCCGTACCCTACGAACACGTAACATCCCGCCGCGGTCGTTAAGAATGCGACTCCCAGGATTCGTCGCCGACCCGTTACCATCGAAATAAGAGAAAATACGCGGAAGCCAAACGAACACTCCATTCAACGAACATTCAAACGGGATAACAGAGAGATAATTTAAACAAACCAACGAACTATTTTATAAACTTAACATCACATACATCGATAGAATATACAAGCCTTCCTAAAGGCCACAAACCCAGACCACGCATACTCAAAAAGGGATAGGGTGGTCGATCTGCTCCACTACTCTATTCAAAAGAGGAGCTCCCAAAAAGATAGGGATCTCTAACCCTATCAAAAACCTCCACAACATCCTGGCGGTGCTCCTGGCGAAGCCGGGTCAGATGCCTCACTATAAGAGCCGGACGGCAAGGACTCCCATTCAGGTTCTGGCCACTCGACCCACGCTGGAGGCTCTGTCACCATTGGTTCTGGCTCCGGATTAACTACAGTTCCGTCAGGGGGATCAATCTCCATAAGATCCCATAATCCTAAACCATCGTCATGGGGAACATCAAACCCCTCGAGAGGACCAATATTCTGAGCTCCGTCTCTCAGAAACCAAGCCATGTACTTATGAGCTGTCAAGTACTGCTCCCCATCGTCGACCCAAACCGTGCTCTCATACTTCCGATACTCCCTACCCTCTCCTACTGGGTACTCAGTCACCCAATGCTCCATCTCCGTTGGTACCCCGAAACGAAGCGGAGGCTCAGTCATAATCAAGGTCGAGGGTCTGAAAATGTTTAACAACGGGGAATGAGATAAATCTCAATAAGTAAACTGCCTAAGCCTCGACTAGGGCAATACGTACCTCCGGCACCCTAATCATGCCATTCTAACCAAAAGGTTAAGTTCCTATCCAACGGACAATGGTACCACATACTATGCAAGTCTCAATTTGTATCACAACCATGGCAACTATCAATATGCATAACATCAATAATAATAATCCAGACATAATCAATCATTCACACGAGTCTCGATTATAAGATGAAATCACTTCGGCCCGTCCCATACCGTGCCTCACGATTTTATCCTATAATAAAGCTCAAGCATACCATATGCACATAACACTCGAAGTTGTCCAGATTATTAACGACCCACCATAGGTCACACCGAACTCCCGCCGGTCTTCCGGCATAGCCAGGCATCACCCCACTACTTTGGGCGTGGCAACGTCCGGGATCGAACCCCCCCCGACAAGTCGGGTACCGGACGGCATCCCATTTAGGAGCATCGATCCGGCCTCCACCGCGATCGGCAATGTCTGGGATCGAACCCCCCCCCCCCCGACAAGTCGGGTACCAGACAGCATCCGAACTTCCGCCGGGCATCGTCTAGAACTCGTCTTAGACGGAACTTATCATGGTCACACACGTAAATAACCACGCATTGCCAATTTTAATCTTCTTAATTAGCCAATGCAAGTGTTTATGACGTGCAATGTACTACGAATAAATATGCCATGAATCGCACTCGTTTTCGCATCAAACATCGATATATGATCACGATACGCCATGCCAAGCCAACAATAGCCATAATTAACCACACGATCTTCGTTCTAGGCCACGAAATCATCATCAAACTATACGATCAAGACATAGTCAACTAATCAGCCATGATTAAATAAATTAACCATACGATCAAACCAATTAACCATGCGATCAATTTTAAACAACTAATTCACCACACGATCGTCATTAAACCTTTAATCGACACATAATCGACTAATTAGCCATGCGATTGCCAATCAAAGTCACCCGATCAATCTCAAATCTCTAATAAGCCATATGATTAACTTTTATCACATCTTAATTTAATCTAAACCGTAGGATCAAAATTAGCACCTAATCATGATAATTAAGCCCTAAAATTAACCTTAACCATTCTAGAACCAATGGGGGCCATATGATCAAAGTCCAAGTCATCCAATTCAGCCACTACCACATGATTATTGCAGCCACAAGACTAACCCACGAATTTAATTAAAACAATCACTAAACAACCATAATTAGCCAAATTAAGCACAATTAGCAACATTAAACATATGATCAAGCTCAAATAACATAATCTACCTATCTTAACATTCAAATCAGCCACATAATTATCAAATCCATCCACCAACAATTTCTCAATTCAGCTTATGCCATAACCCCTAAATTAACCCCTAAAATAACCCCTAAATTACCCTAACAACCCCTAAACACTATCCATTGGTAACCTACTAACCTAATCAAGGTTTAGGGAGTTACTTACCACTAATATAAGCTAAGAATCAAGCCAAACCCAGCAGCACCAGTCCCGGCCAAGCCAAGAGCTCCGGCGAACGGCGGCGGCCCAAACGGCGATCCGGCGAACGGCGGCTGCTCCGGGTGTGAACGGCGGCTTGCGGGCGGCTCACGGTGGTCCACGGTGGTCCAAGGTGGTGGCGTGAGGGGCTGATGGGTGGTGGACGGTGGTGGGGAGTGTCTCGGCCAAGAGAGAGGAAGAGAGAGAGAAAAATGAAGAGAGAGAGAGAGCAAGGGAAAAGTGAGGAGAGAGAGTGTGTGAGCTGAACATATCTCACCAAAATGGAGGGCTAGGATGAGTCCTTGATGCCCAAGTATTGATCCAAGGGCTAGAAATGCATCTTGACAAAAGTCTTCTAGAAGGGCATTTTTGTAATTAACCAAAAAGGCAAGGGCAAAGTTGTCCATGAAGATTTTCGGTCACTAGGGTAAAATACCAATAAGTCCTTCCACTCAACAAATAAATTCTAGAACACACAGGGGTAAAATCGTCTTTTCTAATTTCCGAGCCTAATTTCCCGTTTTCGCGAATTTCTGAGCAAACCGATAATAAAGCGAGCTTAATGCGGCGTCGTCCAATATAATAATTTTGATATCCTTGAAAGTTCGATACCCAAGTTCGGATTCCAATTCGTGGCCAAAATCGCTCAAACGCGACTTTCGTGTATCTCAAACTAACGGGCGGCTTTTAGGGTTTACGCGTGTCGACCCGTGGTTGATTTGATATCAATCCACATTTAAGTTTACTCGAGCCATGGTGACTTCGGTTGTCATGTAATTACGAGGGTCAATCACTAGTTCCGAACGACACGATCGTTAGAAATTGATTTTGGAACGTTTGGAATGCATACAGTGATTAAACGGCATCACCCGTGACTCAATTGTATAACATTGTTAAATTGTTCCTTAATCATTCTTGGATCTGCCTAAAATGGTCCTAAATATCCCCTCGTCAATTCTTATGGTCGAAGTATCGATCCAGGTTCGA